AGAGAGAGAGAGAGAGAGAGAGAGAGAGAGAGAATGAATTTTTAATATTTTTATTTTTTAGTTCTCGGCGGACACAACACCTTGTTGGTATGTGGTGCTGAGGATCGAACCTGGGTCGCACGCATGCCAGTCGAGCGCGCTACCGATTGAACCATATCCCCAGCCCTCCTTTTTTTTAAATCTTATATAACACGAAACCCCTGTCATATCAGGTCCCGGGTTCTGCTTCCAAGTCGCAGCTCCTACCTTTAGTCCAAGCCCCAACCACCAGGCCACATGCTTGGCTGGGCTGGGCTGGTTATTGCTGCTGAGACTTGCTGTGGGGCCACCCAGCCTTGGTCAGGCCTGGGGAGGGCGCCTGGAGGAAGAAGCCACAGGCCTGGAGGTGCAGTTCAGTTTCTGTTTTGTTCAAACAAGACTGGGGAGCAAAGGTGGCCAAGTGGCCACAGCTGTGCCTTCTGGAGTGAGTGTCAGACTGAGTTCAGGTTCTTACTTTTGCGGCTTTCTGAGAATTTTTCATATTTCTTTAAAAAAAATAAGAATTAGAAAAAAAAAACTTCTTGCTGTAAAATGAGAAGATTTTAGAGTATTTAAGTGAGAGGCAACTGGGGCTGCAGTAACTCTTCTGCCTTCTGGTCTTGGGAACATGGGCAGCATCTCTTCCACTACTAGAGTTTCATTTACAGAATATGATGTGTGTCACCTGTTCTTCCTGCTACCTTGGTTTTTCCAAGGGTGAGAATATGAGGTGAAGTCTTTTTATATTATAAAAGGCTTTATAATCACAGTGTTTATTCCGTTCACATGCATGATTTGAGAAACTTGGTTGGAAGGCTGTGTCTCAAATATCTCAAAATGGTGGGACTAATGGGAACTGTGGGTGTTTTCTCAGTTCCACAGTTACTTTTGCTGAGAATCACAGACTTTTTCCTCCTTTTTATTGATTTGACATGTGTCCTTGGGGGAGCCAGAACTGCACTTCACCAATTTTGCATCGTCATTTGGGGAACACTTCTACCTAGAAGTTCACCATGGTACATCCTGAGGTCAGCTGGGTCTTTACCTTTTGTCTCCTTAGGTGAATGGCGACATTCCTCCTCGGTTAAAGAAGAGCGCTCATGAGATCATCCTGGACTTCATCAGGTCAAGACCTCCTTTAAACCCCGTATGTAACTTGACATTCCCCTCGCTGCCAGAGCTACTCTCTGCCAGGGCTCCTCCTTAGAAGGCAGCTTTCCCTAGTGGTTGGTGTATCTGAGCTTTCCTTTTAAGAACAATGAAACCCAAGTGTCATAGAAAAATACTAAACTCATTCAATATGAGGCTATCAGGGTGTTTTTACTCAAAACACCCAACTCTGGTGCAAGACCTGGCTGGACAGCTGCTCGGTTGAGGCCTGGTGGTTTATAGGAAGGAGGCCTCCCGGACCCTGTTGCTGTACCTATCCCTTCTACCACCTAGCACAGCGGCCTTCTTATCTCCTCTGTTAACCAGGTTCCTTCTGGTGACCACAGAGTCAGAATACTCATCAGGAAGAGCCTGGGGTGAGGTGAAATTAACAGGCACACTAGCTCTGCAGCCCACTAGGCACGCATCTCCAAGCCATTAATTGGCCTCTCTGAGCCTTAATTTCCACAGAGTAAAGAAAATAATAATAGTCTAAAAAGGTTGTGGTGGGTCAGTCAGGGTCGTCAGCTGGGGAAGCAGTGAGGGCAATGATCAGGCGCAGCTGACTCCTGCCCTGTAAGCATCCAGAGCTATGGGTGTGACTTGAACAGCACAGATGCTTCAGGGGAACGGAGCAGAGCATTCATGACCAGAGCACGGTGGAACCCTGTGCTCTTCCTGTTGCTTGAGGAATCATGATGTTTAATGACTTGTACTGGTTATCAAGCAGCAGTCCAGTCCATGAAATATAAATCACGATATTGGAAAGACTGTTGAAGCACGAACACCCAGATCTCTAGCCATTATACTCTTTTTTCAAGGCTTCAGCCAGAAAACTGAAACCAACCCCACCACGGCCTCGGAGCCTGCATGAAAGAATATTAGAAGAAATTAAAGCAGAAAGAAAGCTGCGGCCTGTGTCCCCAGAGGAGATTAGACGGAGCCGATTGGGTGAGTCCATTACCTCTCGCACTCTCAGTTTGTGGTCACCTCTGGGAAAGACATGTCTGTGTGGCTGATCCCTGAGCAGAGCTGATCCCTGCAGTTGCTCTCCGTCACCTCCCTCCCCCTCTCCACATCTGTCACTCACGCACACTGACACTCAGAGTCTGTGCTGGAAGATTTTCCCTTCTGGCCCAGTGGAGGGGACTCTACCAGGACCCACGCTGAGGCTTCCGGAGAGGCTCTTTACCTCGCTGAGTACACGTCCTTCATTAGCAGAGAGGGAATAAAGATCCTGCCCACTACGTTGTGGCTTTTGTGTAAGAAATGGGAGTGTGGTAAAAACATTTCATAAATAGCAACATTTTTGCAAAGATTGGGTGTTGTGTTTTGGGAATGTAAATAGTAGATACAGGATCTTACTTCGTATTTCTGTCATTCTAATTATGGGTGTTATGTGTGAGAGCACCCATTATCACTAGGTAGCACTTATTCCCAAACTTCTTTTATGGTTATTATTTTTTAAATATTTATTTTTAGTTATAGGTGAACATAGTATCTTTATTTTTATGTCGTGCTGAGGATGGAACCCAGTGTCCCACGTATGGTCGGCGAGCACTCTACCTCTGAGCCACAAACCCAGCCCCAGTTATTATTTTTAATAATAAATATTTTACATATTGACTTTGATTTATTGCAAGACCATATTTTTAGATGTTTTTGTTTATGTAGCTCTTCTCTGATTTGTAAAATTAAAGGTGCCCAAAGAATTCAGAGAAGCATCTTTAGGAAAACAGGTTTTAGTGGTGTCTGAACAGGGAGCAGCCAATCCCAGGAAGACACACTCTTCTGATTCTGTCCCCCATCTCTCTTTCTGCCTCTTCACACTCCTCATGGTCCTCGTTTCCACCCTAGACTCTTCTCTCTGGGCAACCATACCTTCCCTCAGGGTGTGTTTCTGGCTATCTTCCAGCTCCCGATCTACAGCACAAATCTCTCAAGTTCAGGGCCAGGCACCCAGCTCTTGGCTAGATAGGGCCTCTTCATATCCCACAAGCAAACAGACCACGGTGTCCACGAGTGGCCTCTGCCCTCTAGCCCTCTCACCCTGTTTCCCCAGGCAGGGGCCTCAGCGTTGACTCTGGCTCCTGCCTGCTGTCCAGGCCCCGTTGAGTCTGCTCCCATTGGCAGCCCAGCAGCCACTGTCTAACCAGGTGCCTCCTCCCCAACCTGGTGTGTCCTCTGACTGTGCTCCCCGCTTCCACTCTGGAACCCCTCACTCAGGCCACACCAGTGTTCCCTATTTGGCCCTCACCCTCCTTTAGTGTGACAGGGCCCATAGCTCTTGTTTGTTGTGTTCCTAGTATGGGACTGGGCTGTAAAATAGTTAATGTGCCTTCTGGTTACAAAGCTAGAGTGAGCAAGGTTCTATCAGCTTATCCCTCATGAGATATTTTTGTTGTTATTTGGGGTTTTTAGTTTAGTTTTTGAGAGAGGGTCTCACTAAGTTGCCCAGAGTGGCCTCGACCTTGTAGTCCTCCTGCCTTAGCCTCCTGAGTAGCTGGGATTACAGACGTGTACCACCATGCCCAGCTCCCTCCCTGGGTTTATGGCAGCACGCTTTGTCTCTTGAACATTTAAGCTGAGTATACTGGTGCACACCTGGAGATCCCCTGTCTGGGATGCTGAGAAGGGGTATCTCGGAGTACAGGATCAGTCTGGGTGGCACAGGGAGACCCTGCTTCAAAAAAAAAAAAAGGAAAGGAAAAATATTTAAAGCATGCTAAATGACAATTCCATATAAGCATTTATATGAGCCACAACATAGATCAGGGAACCAAGGGTTTTTTTCCCTTGGAGGAAAGTCTGTGGATCCCCTGAAATATAAAAAAATGTCTGGGCTGGGTTTGTAGCTCAGTAGCAGAGCACTTGCTCAGTAGGTATGAGGCCCTGGGTTCCATCCCTAGTACCACTAAAATAACAAACAAAACGAAAAACAAGGCATATTTCACAAGGGCCTTCAGGATATCATGCTGAGTGAAATAAGAAAAACAAATATTGCATGGATTTACTAATAGTAGGACTCTAAACCACTCAAATTCATAGAATCAGAAAAACGTAGTGTTGGTTGCCAGGGGCTGGCTTATCGATCAGACAAGATGAGTAAGCTCCAAAGATCTGCTGTACAAAATTGTATCTGTATTCAGTAATAACGTATTGCACACTTCAACATTTGTTAAAATGGGGCTGGGGTGTAGCTCAGTGGTAGGACACTTACCTTGCACTGCCGAAAAGAGAGAAAGAAAATAGATTAAGGTAGATTTCATTTTAAAGCGCTCTTACCACAATTTTAGAAAATTAAGCTTTTCTATTGCATTAGGAATAAAATGTTAACTATTTAAAAAGGAAAGGAATCTGCTGTGATCCTTGGGTGCAGTGGGGCGGGTCCCCTGCTGGTCTTAGACCCCTGTCTTGGCCCTGGAGAAGCCGTCCTGATGGGCTCTGCTGGGGCTCACTCAGCCCTCCTGCAGTTGCAACCTCATGGTCTCTTCTGAAAGTGTGCAGTAAGCAGGGCTGTGCCTTGCCATCTCTGGTCTCCTGTCACTCCCACAGTGATCGATAGTGGAGGCTCAGAGAACTTGAAATGAGGAGTTGATGTCCAGTGTCAGTGCAGACTCTGAGCTGGTGTCTGCCCAGCCTCCCCTCCAGGCTCTGCTGGCACTGGAAGCCTTTTAGTGTGATGCAGTCCCATGTGTTCGTTTTTCTTGTGTTGCCTGTGATTTTAGTGTCATATCCCTGAAATCGGTGCCCAGACCACTGTCGTAAAGGTTTTCCGCTGCTTTTTAATGAGAGTTTGGTACTTCAAGGTCTTTCACTTTGAATTGATTCTTGTGTATGGTGTAAGACCAGAGTGCAGCTTTGTTCTTGTGAATGTGGATATTCAGTTTTCCTGACACCGCTTGTACCTACCTTCTCCACCGTGGGTTCTGGTAATGCTGTCACACATTAGTTGACCCCATCTAAGCAGGTTTGTCCCATCCTGGGTCTGGCTGTCTGCCTGTACTTCAATACCCTGTGTTTTGATTGCTGTAACTTCGTAACATCATATTTGAACCTCTGCAAGAGTAATGCCTTCAGCTTGGCTCTTCTGTCTCAGGATTGATTGGCTATTCATCTTCGGTTTTCTGTATGAATTTTGGAACTGATCTTTTCTATTTTTATATAAACTACCACTAAAATTTTCATGGGGATTGTGTTGAATCTGTATTTAGCTTTGGGTACTACAGATATTTTAGCAATATTAATTCTTGTGGTCTGAACACAGAGGTGTCTTTGCATTCGTTTGTATCTTGTGGTTTCTAGAATACAAGTATTCCTAGATGTTTTATTCTTCTTGGTGATAAATGAGATTATTCTCCTAATTTCCTTTCCAGATAGTTTGCTGTTATGTATTGAAATGCCACAGGTTTTTGTAGTTGATTTTGTGTCTTGCAACTTTACTAAATTTATTAGTTCTGACAATTTCTGTGGCATTGTTAGGGTTTTCTGTATATAAGATCTTGTTGTCTACAGAGACAGTTTACTTCTTCCTTTCCAATCTAGGTGCCTTTTAATTCTGGTCCCCATTTATTGCCTGGCTGTTTTCCTTAGGTCCACCAGTGCTATGGTCATTCTAGCCTGGTTCCTGATATTGGAGAGAAAGTGTTCAGTTTTTCAGGCTGAGTGTTACCTGGGGGCTTTTCACATGTGGGCTTATTATGCTGATTAACTTCCCTCTGTTCCCACTTCCTTGGGAGTCTGTATCATGGAAGGTGTGGAGTTTTACCAAACTCTACTAGGTCACATTAGCTGGGTGTGACCCATTCTCACAGGGTGAGCTGTCCTCCTGCCCCAGAGTCACAGCCCACTTGGCCCAGGTGTAGTCCTTTCAGTGTGCTGCTAGAGTTGATTCACTGCCGTTTTGTTAAGGATTTTTCGTCTGTGTTAATCCGAGATATTAGCCTGTAGTTTTCCATTTTCATTTGATCTTTAATTTTTTTCCTTCCCTCCTCGGAGTTTTGGAAGACTGAGAAAGACTGGCATTCCTTCTTGCAGTGCTTGGCAGAGGGAACAGGTGACGCCCCTGGTCCTGGACGCTTCTTTGTGGGGAGTGAACTGATTACTGCAGGCTCTTCTCAGTATATGTTCTTCAACTTCTTTAAAAAATTAGATTCGGGTGCTGCCTAACCAGGGCAGAGACCCTACTTTAGAATACGTAAATAACAGTTTTTTGTTGAGTGTATCTTATTTAGCCTTGACAGTTGGGTCACAACCTCCAAATTTGGTGATTCTGTGAGAATTCTAGAATTCCAAGTGATCTTAATTGAAAAGTAAGGGATTTGAGTTCATTTTTTACACAGATCTACATAGATTTTTTAACAATAAAATTGGGCTTTGGAGAGTTTGGATAAGGTTGGCAGACTTAACCTAAGAAAAGTTCCCCTAAATACTTGTATGACATTTTTTTTTCTCCATTTATTTGCTAGTATAAACCCAGTGCAGAAATGGAGAAAATGTCTAAATGTTTGAAGAAGGAAATGTCACCCATAATTTCATCAGCCAGCTGCATCTACTATGAATCTAAAAAGTGAGGTCAGAAAACCAAATTCCATGTCTGTACAGTATCCCATCTCTCCATTTAACACTGTGTCACAAACATCTTGCCATTAATTATGACACAGAACTGAATTTATAAAGCTGTGACCTTCCAGCATGTGGCTAAATGGCACTTTGGCACCTGCCCCTTCTTGTTTTCTCTGACCATGTTAATTGCCACAATCTTCAGTTACTGTCCGTCCTCCTGAGCTAGAGAGCTTGGAGAGACAGAACCTCTTCCCTGAGAAGTGACTGCATTGCTTTCTTAAGTCTTCAGCCACAGGTATGGTCACATACCAGAGAAGAGCAGAAAAATGTTAGAGAAGATTAAGGATATATAATATTTTACCTTGAGAATACGTAGTATTTTATTTGCTAATAATTAGGAAAATCTACAGTAGATGGTATTTGAGTTTAGAAATGCATAGTTTTTGAAGAGTGAGTGGAAGATTATTCTCATCAACACAAAATCCCTAATCACTTTCCTATGCTTAGGAGGAAAGGAGGCTGAGGCAAGAGGATTGCAAGTTGGAGGCCATCCTGGGCAATTTGGTGAGACTCTGTCTCAAAATTTAAAGAAATTTTTTAAAAGACTGGGGGTATGGCTTAGTGGTAGAGCATCCTGGTTCAGTCCCCAGTACTGGAAGGAAAAATGTTATATCCTAACTTTTACGTTAGGATGGAAGTCCTTAAAATATTACTTTCTGATCATCAAACAGTAAGAATGTTAAGTAAAATAGCTGCCTCATTTGCCCCACCTCAGATGCAGATCCCTTAGATGAAATACAGCTTTTAAAAACATCTACCTGTGGAGATGTGTGCTGGACATAAGTCAGTGCTTTTCCTTCACATCTATTTTTTTGAAGGATGCTATATTCAGCTTTTGGGTTGTAGATGTGAATTATTCCCTGAAATCACCTACTAACAAAAATGCTGAAGAGTGCAGTCTGTTCAGTTGGGGTACAGAGCCCAGAGGCTGCCTTCCTGGAGGACACTGCTTGGTGTGCCTGTGCGTCAGCCTTGCCCTCCTGCAGTGGATCCTCCCGCAGCAGCACCTCAGACCACCAGAGGTCATGCCAGGAAGGCAGCGTTGTTCCTAGATGACAAGTTGCCTGAGACAGGGCTGTGATGAGGGCTTTGTGGAATGGGGAAGCCAAAAAGAAATAGTGAACGCCTCAGATCATCCTGGCTAGCTGGTGTGAAGAGATGTAGAAGAATGGAAGAAAGAATGTGAACTGACACCAGAGACTCCACTCTGCCTCCAGGGTTCTGGGGAGCCTTGCAGGTCCTGGTAGCTGAGTGTTTGCCTGGGGAGAGCAGACCGCACCTCCTGAGGGAGGGAGGAAGACCACTTGGGTGTCTGAAATGCTGTGCATCCCTGCACAGTTTCTGAACAGGGACAGGAGAACAGACCAGGGCACGGAAGAGGTGTTCTCCTGGGCAAGGTACCATCAAGGTACTGGTCAGGGTTTGGGACTGCAATGAAAGTTGGTAGCTCTGTCATAGTACCAAATTCATCAGATCTCTTTCACAGCCTCCTCTGCCTGCTTGGGTAAGGTATAATATACATACCCTAAAATTTACCCACTTAAAGTACATATTTTGGCGGTTTCATGATATGTAATAAATTTTAGAAACAGATTATTTCAACAAGACGGAAATAATGATCTTAAGAAATGGTAATCATTGTTTTTTTGGTTTTTTTACTGTGTGCCAAGCACCCTTTTTGGAAGTCATTTATATATGAAGACACAGTATATAACACGTTGTGATGCTGCTGGTTCCTGAGACTGTTAAACTGAAATGTTTCACCTTTATTGAGAAAACCAAATTTTCATCCTGACTTACATTATTGAAATTTTCACCCTGACTTACATTACTACATTTGTGTGCTAAAATTCTAAACATTGTATACATTCCCTAAAATCCTGTTTTAAAACTTGCCCGTTTTTCCTTTGGGTCTATTTTATATTTAAGTGAAAGATCCTTCTGTGGCTTTCTATTCTGCAATTCTTCATCTTCATTTTCCCTTCTGTTGTCCCTGCATGTCAAGTCTCAGTGACCCAGTGGAGGCTCAGGTTCCTGCATGGTGCTGCCACCTTCAGGCCTGCTCTCTAGCAGCCTGGGGGCTTAGGTGTGCCGGCAAGCTCCGCCCTTTCTTTCTTTCTTTCTTTCCTGTATACTCCTAACAGCTGAACTGTTTTCTTTTATTGTTTGTTTTCTTTTTTCCAGCAATGCGGCCACTTAGCATGTCTCACAGTTTTGACTTGTCAGGTAAAAACAACAAACATTTCACACCTGACGTGGGTTTGTGTGGTTTCTGTGAAACACGTTGCATTCATCTGCTTGTTCAAACATGTCAAAAAAGAAAATTGAAAGGCTTTCTTGTAATCTGTGGTCAGTAAGACATTCTGCCTTTTGAAAACAGCATACTTGAAATAATCAAAACTGCACCACATCCACACTCTTGGTCAGTTACGCAGGAGCCATGATACCAGGCTTAGGGTCCGAAACTCAGCCACCACCCACATGGGGCTGTCACGGCTTCTGGCCTTGGCCTTGAGAGAAAGACTTTTAAGAAAACCAAATTTCAGTGCATCCTATTCTCTGGGGCATCAGTTTTTAGTAGCTGAACTCCCAACAGTCAGCTGCTTGAGATGCCTGCAGAGTCTTAGTTGGTGGGCAGGAGCTGAGTAGATGTAGCCCAGGTGGGAATGACAGCTCAAGAGTGAAGAAAACCAGTGCAGGTTGTGGCTCAGGGAAGAGCACACATGAGCAAACTTCCAAAGCCAGCTGATTCCAATGAAATATTTTACAGTTTAAAGTTTTTAATTTTAGAAGCCACTGTTTAAAACATATAACATGAGGTGTTACAATGTTTTCTTCCAGAATTTCCTTTTAAATACTATAGAATGCTCCTTAAGTCACAAAGAAGTAGTGGCATACCTTATATATAGTACATATGTAAAGAGCCAGAGAGTTCTAACTTCATTTTCTATATTGAATACTTACTGTCTTTTAACTATGAAACTAACTTCCAACTGCTTTTAAGTTTTCTGTTTATTTTTGTAGATCTATGGCATGAATAAAATTTTACAATCTTTTTGACTGACCACTGAAGAGCTTTTTCTATTTTCTTTTATCCATTTGACAATTTTATCAACCATTTGCAGAGTAACCCCGTAAAAACAAATATAGTCTAGAAAAGGAAATCAGGAAGGTTTTAGAACGTATGTGTGACTGCTGCTCTCCGGAAGTTGGCCAAGTGTACCACAAGGCTCTTTTCCTGACCTCTGCCTGAGGTCTCTGAGGCTGAGTGGCAGGGAATGAGGCGGTGGGCAGTGGGTTGATGGACACAGGCTTGGGCTCCCACACGAGGGTTTGTTCACAGGCCCACGGGGTTCTGTGTTGGGAAGAAAGTTCTTGTTACTTACACCCTCCAGCAGAGAGTTTTGCCTTCACTTGTCATTTGCTGTGATTTATTTTGTGCCTTAATGTACTCTGTGATTTCCAACTGCTTCATTCTTTTTTGTGCTTTTATGTTTTTCATTGTTGCATTTTGACTATTAATCAAAATGTCCCAGATTGTAAACAGGAAAGGTTCGTCCATTTCTAATTCTATTAAGGATAGGAGTGTATTTCCTGAGTTGAAGAATGCACAGACTAAGGAGTAAACATTTGAAGCTTGTAGTCTAGATGATAACTTTTGAATCTAAGTGTAGAATAAGACAGTACATCCTGCTGCTTAAGAACATCGTAGAGAGGTCATTTCTCAGTGAAATTCCTAACAGTCCACTCAGCATCAATCAAGGTGAGTATTTTTCCTATGTATATATTAAATATAGAACCTGTATTCTAGTCACATTTCCTCAAACAGAATAAGGCAGCACAAAGTTATTATATAAAATATTGAATATTATAAGTATACATTTTAGATTCTGCGCCTAATATAGGTGTTTCTAAAACTGTCTAAATATTTCACATCTTTAATATAACACCATTTTTCCCCTCAAGATATGCTGTCTTACATAGAAGAAATAAAAAGTTTAATCCAAATACCAACAGGTGTTGATTCCAGGAGTTTCAATCAGTGAGCTAAAGAGACAGCTGTCGTAGAACAGTGTTCAGATGGTTAGGAAGCTGCTAGGCAGTTCTCAACATCCCTGTATTGAAATGAGCTCAGGGCAGCCACTGTCCCTGAACTCCACATAGTGCCTCCAGTACTGTTTAAGATTTTTAAGCGACCCTAAATGACTCTCTTCATTGTCCTAAGCAATGATATCCATAAAATCCTGGATCTGATTAGTGGTTATATTTTTTACAAAGTTTTCATAAATATGTACCACTGAGCTGCTCATGCCCCTAAGCGCTACCCGTGGTGGGGGTGCAGCAAGGTGGGAAGTGTGGCCATCCTGCACTGGGAGGCTGGCCATGTTCCCAGGCCTCCTCCTCCTCTTTGCCACCCATGGAGCAGAGGGAGCCTCTGTGGGAATGTGAGAACTCAGACAGGCGAGAGCTTTCTTGCCTGTCTCGCCTGTCTGAGCTTTAGGAGTGCTTTCTCCTAAACAATGCGAGCAGTCTTTGGAAATGTATATAGTTAGAATTCTATAGAGTTAGTATTCTGTAGAATAAAACTTTGTTTAAATTTCTCACTTTTTTTCTTGAATAGAAATTAATCATTTAGCCCAGTCATTTCCTCTTTTGCTTTCTGGAAAACTTTTAAAATACTTAAGATACTTCTCCCTACATCTCTTACAAAAGAATTATTTAATGATTTTATCCTTTATATTTTATATAAACCCTTGTCGCCCATTCTATTTTTTCTCTTTCAATACCCACCCCCCACACACACACACCATCAATTATGTATTTGTTCTAACCATTTAATCCCCAGGAAGGCAATAATAAAATAAGTGTGTGTATTGTTAGGTATTAAAAACCTGACTGATGCTCTGCCTTCTCTGTTCCTTCTTCCCTCCTCCCTCCTGTTTTCTGCCCTTTCCTCTTCCTTTCATCCTTTTTTTTTTAGCAAATAAATGTTTATTTTCTTCTTTTTTTAATCAAAATATTATTCAGTATTAATACTAAAATACAGAATTTGGGAAATTATTTAACAAATTTTAATTCGAACATCTCAAACTATCAGTTATAAAATCAGTCTAAGAAGAGACCTTCTGAATTTTTAATTTCTAATGAGTTTTTTTTTAATTTTACCCTTTCATCCTTTTTTCTAGCTTGTTCAAACCTTTCTTCATGTTCAGAAGTGCATGTTCTCTGACATCCTGTCTCCAAAAATAAGCAGAGATTATAAACGTTGCATAAGCTGTGTGTCATTTGCAGTAAGCACAGTGTGCAAGTCTCTTGTGTAGGCTCCTAGGCAGCGTCCCAGGAGTTGCACAGTGGAGCACTCTTGCCTACTGACTGTTTCCTGGAACTTGACCTCTTACACTCCAGATGTACAAGTGTCATTTGTTGAGGAAAAACCTACTGCTGCTGCTCCTCACTTTCACGTACCCTTGTTTCGAGTAAGCTATTAAATTCAGTCCACACTTAAGTTTTTACTTGAAATGGTGAGGAAAACTAATTCCACTTGCAGGGGAGGATTCCAGGAGAGCGCCCCAGAGCAGGGGCTTGGCATGGGGTTCGGGTGCCAGTCTGGGCCTGCCTTCACTTGCTCACGGATGCTGGCGCTGGTGTTGCCCACCTTGCCTACAGGGTGTCCTTGAGTGGTGTCAGCCTTGCGCCCTCTCAGCATCTTTCCCTGTCCTTGTGTTACAGAGGGGGAAGCAGCTTGGGCAGGAGGCTCCTGTAGAGAGCTGCCTCCTCCTCCTTATTTGTCATGTTAACTTCACATCAAATTTGAGCCCTTAATAATTTAAATCTGATGTGTGAGAGGGAACATCTCCCAGATTCTTTGTTTGTTGGCATATTGATTTTTGGTATATGAATTACTGGTATATTGGGTTTTTGAAAAATGTTTTTATTTTATTTGTATGTGGTGCTGAGGCTCGAACCCAGTGCCTCACAGTGCTAGGCAAGCGCTCTACCTCTGAGCCACAACTCCAGCCCCTGGTGTCCAAGACACGTACAGAGCTTAGAACTGTGCCCGTAAGGCTCCATGTGCTATCCTTACGTCTGCCCACCTCTGCCTCCTCAGAGGTAGTAAAGGAAAGCCAGATTCTCAGAACCTCAGTTTCTTCATCTGAAAAATAAAAAGAAGTCAGAGTCTGTAGGATTTCTCCCAGATCTGAATTCTGAACTACAAATGTGAACATGTGAAGTTTCCTTTATCAAGTCTCAACAATTAAACCCTGAAAATAGTGGTTTGTGGGCAAAGGCGAGGTGCCTTTGTGCCAAGCCCGAGTGATCAGGAGGTGCTTATTGCTTGATGCCAGTTTTCAGCACCACCTACCTTGATGGTTTAAGCACAGCTGAGCTTCTCTCTTTCTTCCTCCAGATGTGACTACCCCAGAATCTCCAAAGAATGTTGGGGAGCCATCTATGCTGAATGGAAGCCTGACATCGCAGACAGAAATTGGGGGGACCCGTGCTGCCCAGCAAGCACCTGCACAGCGCAAGAAGCTCCTCAAGGCCCCCACGCTGGCCGAGCTGGACAGCTCTGACTCCGAGGTGAGGCCTATCTAGATCGCCGTGGCCTTCAGAGGTTGCTTCCTCTCCTCTCGAATTCCAGCCATCGAAGAGGATTCCAGTTGACCTGGGTAGCAGAGAGGGAGACAGCAGGTGCCTTAGTGTCATTTGAGTAGGCTGGTGCAGTGGTGCACCTCTAGAATAAATGCTGAAATTTGAATATTCTGCAGTCTTAAATTATACATAGGGCTAAAATTAGTCAGCAGTTTTCAAACTTATACCACCTTTCCCTTTGTTTGGGGAAGGGGAAAAATAAAGACCAGAAAAACCTTTCTGCATATTCTTCTCCCTCTAAAATACGAATGCCGGAATTGCGATTCTTTCTGTAATAGTAATGTCAGCAGACAAGACTCAAAAAGCAAGCTAGCAAGCACTCCTGAGAGTGGTCCTGCGTTTCCTTCGCTCTCCACCCTGGCCAGTGTCCTGTGCACCTTTGCCTGCTGCTGGGTCTTGCTGCCCGTTCTAAGACCAGCCGTGAGGTGAAGCTGGTTTCTGCTTTGCCTTCCCCTCATTTGCTTGCCAAACCCCTCCCTGCCCCTTATGTGTGCACGACTGCCCTCTTATTTCTCCCCAGTCGCTTGCACCAGCCTATATTTACACTTGTGTTTTCAGGCCTAGTGGCCACCACCATAGGATGGTGCAGGTCAGGGTCCTCTTGCAGAACATTCTGTTGGGTGGATCTGTCCACAGCTTCCAGGGCTGCCTTCCTTTGCCCCCTGGCCTGTGCCTGACTCTGCTTGACTCCTCCATCACCTCCTGCCCAGAACCATGCACCAGGCCGTGGTCCCAAACACTGGCAGCCTCTACAGCCTTTTTTATGGTCTCTTCTAGAAGATACTTTGTTAACACCTCAAGTCTCTCAGGCTGTTACCCAGCCCCCTGCCATCAGAACAGGAGGGCACTGCCAGGGGAAGTGTCGAAGCTACAGTCCTGTGGCCTCTGACCTTCATCACTAGCCACAGGGATCGTAATCTTAGTGGCCTGGAAGGCAGCATACTCTCCCTTCCTCTGCAGTTTAATATGATTGATGTTTCTAAGTGTAAGGAAGGACTACTCAAAGGGATCATATATGGCAATGCTTTATGTTACTTTTTTGAAAAGAATTTTAAAAGTTTAGAGTGTTCAAATTTTAACATTAAGAAAACAGATAAAGCCTTCATATTTAATCAAGTATATTTAAATCTGGGCTTTATAGTAATCAAAGTTTCAATAAAGTGTCTGTGGAGGAAACATACCTTTAATTGAATTAGATTAGTGTGCTTATCCTAACGGTGTCTTTCCGCATTAGCTAGCTTTAGGTGATCTGTTACGTGGTGGAAGCTGACTAGGCAGGTCATCTGTTGTAAAGCCAGATCATCAGCTGACATTCATTTGGATGGATCGTGCACTAGGAAATTCACACCAGCTTTCCTTCCAGTGTGGACTAGTGAAGGTTATTATCCACAGGGAACCTGCCGAGGCTCCCAGTTCTCAGGACCTGGAAGAGACCCTTCATCTTATTGACAGTGTACCCTGCACCCTCCACTGCATGAAGGGAGTAGATCCCTGTGCCCTCCAGCCAGTGAAGGGAGTTGATCCCCATAGCTATGCCTGGTGAGGGGAGTGGATCCCAGTGTCTTCCAGCTGGTGAGAGGAGTAGAATCAGGTATCCTCCACCTGGAATTAATCCCTGTATCCTCCATCTGATGAGTTCCATGAACTCATATGAGCATCCCAGTGCAACCCCACAAGTATGGAACTGCAGAAGACATTGAAGAATCCTGCCTTTTCTAACCTGTGGTTGGTATTCTCCTGCCCCTTTTGTTATTTCTGATACCAGGACATTCCTAAACCAAGATTGACCTCTGTTCATCTCGGCTCTCTAGTAAAAACGGCCACAAATATGAAGACGAGGCATGTCTCATGTCACATCACACTGCCTTCATCTGCATTCTCTAGTAATTTTTTTGTTATTGTTTTCTGCTTAACATATTCTTTATCTCTTCTGTTTGGCCTTTTCACCAACTTGTTTTTTCCATTTTTTCTGGTCAAATATTTTTGACTGCAATAAGTATTGGAGGTGGAGGCAGAAATACCATGGCCTTTGTCCTCTAGGTATTTGTCATTTAAATACCAAATGAAAATCTACAGCCAAGAATCCTTACAGCCTCTCTGAGCACAGTGTCTGAGGGCACTTTGGACTGTGTGACTAAATGCATGGGAGTCTGGTGGTCTCAGAGGGTGGAAGGCTGAAACAGCCTCAGGCAGGAGGTGGGACCTGGGTGTTAGACTTAGATGAACATGGCAGACAGGCAGGGGCCTTCCCTTCTGCTGTGCGATGACCAGAGCCTG